GCCCCATTATGGCTGTGCAGAGGGGTGTGACCGCCAGCATCGGCTGCGAGTTTCCGTCACTGGTCCAGTTGGATGGATTTGGGTTTTGAGGTTAATGAAAGGTGGTGCGAGTGGACTAGGTGGGGTGTATCAGGGGGAGTCTGTCAGCCAGAGTTGTGCTGCTAAAACAACAGTTGCATTCATTTACAAAATTTGAAAAAACAAAACAAAACAAAAAACACCTTCCATCCGCCTGAGAGTTTGCTGCCACATCAGCTGGCTGTGGATCCATTAAACTGTTGCTGCCACATTTTTGGTTATCCTTCAGTGCGTTTAAAAAAAAAACCTGTGTTGGTTGCAGTCAGCAGCAGAGAAGGGAGCGTGAGCATTCAGTTAGCATTGAGGCAGAATGCTAACATGTAGCAGTTTGGTGCCCCCTCGTGGCCACAGATACTGTGGAAGCTAAAAAACAGATAATCAGACCAAGAAACATTCAAAGTCATCACGAGAGAAGAAAAAGTCTCCTCTCTGAAACAAGCTGAGCCATGATCCTTCATATTACGGTTTGTGATTGAGATCTTCCCAGGCAGTGACACACAAAGTAAAGACGCAGGATGATCAATCAGTCCGTCAGCTGCTGTGAAATATGTATTCTTCTTAATATGGAGTTTGATTCTATCAAAGCCATTTCATGGACCATTTCCCTATGCAAACACCTCAGGGAGAAAGATGGAGAGAGGAGGAGTGTGGCTGAGGCAGAGAAAGAAACACCTCAGAGTGTGGCGTGCTGTGTGTACATTATAAGATTTAATTGAATAGTTCTGCATCAGTGCCAAGAAGTTACTTGGTCTATTTGTAGGGGGTCTGTGTTCTTTCTGATTGAGGGCTCGTTGTCTTGTTTTTTTTCCCCACTCAGAGCAAGCCGACACTTTAGATTTCAATCAAAGACAATCAGTGGGAAAGAAACTCCGAGTGGTCATAGGTTCATCGAAGCAGATTGGAAACATTCACACACCTCGAGGCCTCCTCGTAAAATGTGCCAGAACCACACAATGACAAACACTCAAATGGATCTTTAGGCTATTTCTGGAAGGAACCAATTCATGATATCTCAGCTCAGGAAAGGGTTGGTTGGAAGATGTGCTTTCCTTAGCCTAAAATAAAATTAGACTAAAATATCTTCAATACACAAAGAGTATTATTTAATCACTCAGCATGAGTCATGTGTGTTAAAATAGATAAACCTAGTAGTTTAACTATCCAGGTAAAAACTAGGTTCAGATGTCCTTGTTTGGCAACTGAATTTCTAGCAAGCGAGAACAACCAATCTGGTGTGTCAGGTTAACTTCAGTATGGATCAGAAATGTACATAAAATAGAACATAATTGGATTATACTTTAACATAAACTGCATTTTTAAAATTACAAAAGGCCTTAAAGATACATGACTACACATTTTGAAGTAACCATTCTTCTGTTTGAGTTTCCTTTATGTTAATCAAAAAAAACAGAAAACCCCTTGAAAGGAACACAGAATAGTTTACTATATGATTTAAATCTACAGAGATTGTAACTGACCAAAATCTGAGGAAAATGTGCTTCAGATTTTAATGAGGGTAGCTTTGCAAAAAAGACCTCTGTGCATAGTCAAGTAGGTACTGTGCAATTATCCTTTTTATAAAACTAAAAAATCTCTCGCATAGTTTGCGGATTTCAGAAAGACAATCTGAACTCATAACCTGTCATAAGTCAATTTCCTGAGGGTGAGACTGTCGCTGCAGCAACAAGTGTTTTAGAAGAGTCTTCACCATAAATCCATCAACACCAGTTTCGAAGTGCCTTTTTAAGCTACACCCAAGAATCACTAAAGGCATACACTGACACCTAGTGTATTATTTCTGTTGCTGCACGTAAGAACAGCCAGGATGGGCCTTATTGGTTAATTTTAAACAACACTGCTACTGTATGAATTACAGTGTAGATTAAAATAATCATCTGCTCCATCTGATCTAAAGCTTCATCAACTAATCTCAGGCAGGAACATGACACAGCTCAGTCGTAGATATGCCACAAAGTAAGCATGGCGATGGCACAGGGATAAAGACGTTGAATATGTTGATAGATTGTTGTGACGGTGTTGTACTAATACATTGTGTTTGTACGTTGTTTGTGTTTGGTCTCCTGTGGATGGAACCTGCAATCTCAGTGACTGCTCGTACATTGTGAGGGCTTTTTGGTCTAACTGGGGAGATAAGAGGGTGATACCGAGGGCAGCGTGTGTGTGTGTGTGTCTGTGTGTGTGTGTGTGTATGTGCTGGGCTATCTGCCTCCCAGCTGCCAATGTGACAGGGTCACTCAGGTGCACTCTGCGAGGACAAGTGGAGGTGCAGTGAGAAAGGACAGAGAGGGTGGAGATGAGGGAGGCAAAAGACGAGGGAACAAAGAGGAGAGGGAGATGGAGTGGACAAAAGACGGAGAGAGGGATCAGCAGAGGAGACAGAGATATGGTGCAGTTCATGCTGTCATGCACTTACCAGTGTAAACTGTGCACATGTACAGTATGTGTATGTGTAAAACTGTATATAAAGGTGTGCAATGTGTCTCGATTTTCTCCCATTTACCACTCTCCTCACCTGTGTGTGGCTCCAGGTCTTGCTCTGTGTGTGGGACAAAACACCCACAATGCCATTTGTTTTCACAGCACACACACACAGAGGATCAGGCCATTGTGGCAAACTGGCACCAGATATTATCGTGTGTGCCGCTGATGTTTTTAGTTTCCTTCTGATTTCCTTTTAGCAAAGACAAAGTATGCCTAATCCCCTCATGTCAAACTCACCATGGAGAGCGCCAGACAAGAAAATAAACACTGGAGTTGAACTTGTCAAATACAGTTACAGCAACAACAGACTCATTCAAAATGTGTGCGTATGTAAACTGTCATCAAATAAAGGGGGGTTTGATTTCTGTACACTTATTCTCAGCTTAGCGTTCCAAGCACTAATCCAACCTTACTTGCACTAACATGTGATCACGTGACAGGCTTACAAGTTACAACGACACTAGCAAGATGTCAAAGAAGTCAAAATTCTGCAATAACTTCCAAATTCATGAGACGAGTCCAAAAAAGGAAAGACACATATAACAAAGGAAAACTGGCAAATCGACAAAGAGTTTGGCAAATTCCCTGAAAACTGTAAGTAACAGTTAAACTGTCACCTAAAATGCTTTGAAAGTACCTTGTGGCCACCACACTAGTCCTGTACATCAGAAGGAAGTAATCTAATCACATGGCTTCAAAAATATTAACCTAGAGGCAGCAGTTATTTTAATCTCTCAGCACATTGACATCTTTTTATTCAGTAGGCACCATTTCTACACTTTGTGAATTCTACTCCTCGTTCGACCTTTTATGAAGAATTCCCACATTTCATTTGCAATTTAATTCCAGGATTTGAATCTAAAACTTGTCTTTGATCTTGAATTTGAGATTAAAATTTCAGAAAGTCAGAGAGAAATATAGAGGGTGTAAATCAATAAAAGTTTTCTTTGCAAACATAAATGCAGATGTTGTCATTATTTATCTATCTACTAATTCCAGAAATCGTATCAGCTTCACACTTGTGTCAACATCCAAAAAACTCAAAATTTTACTTCAGATCAATGTAACACACCCACAGTGTGATCACACAGCAGCGTGCCAGCGAACGGACAGCTGTGAGCACCTGTTTGTCCCGCACTGACACACATGACAGTCATGAGCACATGCCACACAGAAGGGTAAAAATGTAACTGGAGCTGAGAGGAGAACACTGCCAGGCTACGGCAGCTGCTTCAAACAGCTCTGAATCCAGCTATCACACGCGCAGCCTTTTGAGAATGGAAGAGTCCATGTCAGCCGCTGTCACTGGCAGAGGCAGACACAGGAAGAAAAAGCCAGCTCTGGGCTTTTTGGATGAAGAATTGGAAGTAGCTCAGATGAATTTTTTTACTGTTAGATTTAAAGATAGAACAACAGGATGCTTGACAAATATGCACATGATGACTGAGAGAGGAAATTGTCCCCTTATAAAACATTATCTAAATTCACTTGATCTAGATTTGTATTTTGGATCCACACCAAATTTCACACACTCATAAATATGAGCCCCCTAAACAAACCCTGCCAGCCAGTTTAGCGTGCAGTGAGACCACAGTGTGATGCCAGCCAGGTGTAACACCATCTCCTCAGGTTATTGTTCAAGTCTTGTAATGAGCCTGTAATGAGGCCATGAAATATTGATGACCACGCTCACCCAACTCTGGGCCTATACAGGGTCCCTCTCAACTAAAGAACAGATCTCAATCTCTAAATCTAAAGGTAAATCTGACGGGCATTGTTAGGCAGTAGAGAGGACAAAGTGATAAAGGCTGGGCAATAAAAAGATATCAATAATTATCACAATGTAATTGTCATACAGCTGAGGTTCAATATAAATGGATATATTGCTTATGTATCGTGCAAACACATTGAGAGGGTAGAACATATAAGATATTACAAATATCTACCTCAGATATGTAAAACACTTGGATGTGTGTGTTTAAAACCACAAGCTTCAATCACCAGCAAAAATCAGTGTTGGAACTTAAAATAAATAATAATGTGACATTTGTTCCATTTTTCATATTGATATATATTTGTCCCAACAAAATAATGTAATAACAAACCAGAACATCCAATAAAGTTTAGTTTAAGAACAATGAAGAGACACTAGAGGTATTTCATTTATATAGGACTATAATGCATCATTGCATGTACTACATCATTCTTTAAACTTTTAGTTAATTAGTGAGACGGACAGATAGATGTGAAGTTACTGGAGAGTATGATAACAGGAAGGTGCAAAGATGCAGGGATTTGGGGAAGTAGTTCACATTTGTGGAACTTTTTAAAGAGAGATAAACAAATTTAAGCATCTGTAAAGATTGTTTGCTTCACTTCCACAAGAGGAGGAGAAAGAGAAGTGACAGGTTTAAACTCACCTGACTTCATGGACGAGGACTGTGGAGGTCGCTCTTCTTCCTCTCGGGCTGCTCAACTTCAGAGGTTTTATCAACTTTAAGCTAACTGCTAAACCTGGGACATGCTTTTCACTGCGAAGACATTCTGCGAACTGCGTCAGTCGCTCTTTGCTGTGTTTGTAGTTCACATCACACGGTGTGTTAATAGCATTAGCAGCTATTAGCTCCGGCTAATAACACACGTTATCCCTGTGACCATGTTTCCTGACGAGAAGCTAAGCTAACTCAACTACCGAACCGAGCTCTCTATGCTAGCTCGCTGTCTGCAGCGCCTGGATACTGGTCGCTAGGCAACTGTAACCGGGTACTCTGAAGGCTATGCTAACTAGCATGCTAGCTCCCCGGCGACCCGGTTCTCCCCCCCCCCCCCCTTGTTCGTTACACCACGTTGAAAACTTCGATGATAGGAAACTGCGTTTCAACTATAAACCGATTGACGCGTTGTTGTGATTAAGTTTGTTCGCTCTCCGTAAAGGATTGCGCAAACTGTAAAAGAAACTTAAAAACTCCCTGGGTCTGCCGTGTCACGGTCAAAAGTGTCGCAATCACGAAGGGGCACAGTTAGTGTAAATAGGACGGAGAGAATGTGGAGACAGTAAACAATGGAGGAGATGGATGTTCAGCGTTTCACTCATGACTGAGCTGGACACACGGATTTCCAAAATAGAGACAACGAAGGGTGTGTGTGTGGGGGGGGGGGGGGGCGCCTGAAGGTGGCGCTAATGCTGCGCTTTGGATGCAGGCTGCCGTGAAGCTCCAGAGACGAAGAAGAAGAGCGCCGTGACTGGAGTGTGCAGCGGGTGGAGACACACTGTAACTGTGCAGGTCGTCGTGTGGTGATCATGGTGAGTAGAGCTGACGAGTTTAATCTGCTGTAAATACCGAGCACACCTCTGCGTCTGCTGTTTCATGCAATGATTCCATAAGTTTATCGAGTTCGACGAAGTTTAACCAAGTTTGACAAAGTTAGCTCTTTAGTTGGTCTGGCTCGCTGCATGACGTAACCAACTCGTGTGACCCCAGTGTCATTTTATGTCATGTAAAACTAGTCTTTATTTGCTATTGCGTGACGGCTGGTGGGTGAAGTGTTAAAGTTGTAGTGAATACACTTGATATAGTATGTGCCGGGTTTGTTATGTAATAGTTCTGTATGGGAGGACAGACGATGTATTTTTGAATTTGTCCCCTGCTCTGCTAATTCCTGTTGACAAGAATAGACGCCCAGCCCCCTTCGTGTTGTCACATTCATACCTGTCCTGCCACTGGAAACAATAATGCTGCTTTGTTCTCTGTCCTTGTGTCTCACAGTCTGATTCTATTAGAGTCCTGGTGACCGGCGCTGCTGGGCAGATTGCCTATTCCCTGTTGTTCAGCATTGCCAAGGGAGATGTCTTTGGCAAAGATCAGGTGAGGAACGGCTTTCTCTTGCTCATGTAACACAATCAACGTCCTCATCCCATTAGGTAGTGTCACAAGGAATGGGAAAGATACTGACACCCCCCAGAGAACCACTGCATGTGTCACACGTTTTCCAGATAACATCTGGGTCTGGGGACACAGAACTGATTTTGTTGGAATTGTTCAGCTTCCTCATGTTTGTCCTCTACGTCTTGCGACCAGTCAGACTCGTCCTTGAAGTTGATGAAATGGATCATATGCCCAGAGTCTTAGGCCAACTTTAAAGCCACTTGATCCCTCTGGCACGTGCTGTAGTCAGTGAGCCACATGGCCTTGGCCTTCACACTCTGTTCCAGAGACTAAGTCCTCTGCTGACAAGTCACTAAATGTGGTTATTATGATTTGTAATTCTGTTCCACATGTTTCATTCATCTCATACCATTCATCCCACTGCCTGCTTCCTTCTCTCCCTCTCCCAGCCAATCACCTTGCTCCTTTTGGACATAACACCAATGTTACCAGTCCTGGATGGCGTTGTCATGGAGCTGCAGGACTGTGCCCTCCCACTTCTGAGAGGTAACCATTTTAAGGGTGCAACAGATAATTGACAGAAAGTGATAACAAGATGTATTGTCTTTTTTTCGAAGCTGTTTGGAGTTCAATACTAACTAATTAATTCAGATTGAAAATATTTTAATGGCTATACAGCAGGGATTTATTCTTGATTTTAAAACAAGGGCTTTCTTTGAAGTTCTGCCTCAAAATGTGAATGTTTTCGGCGATACTAAAACCAATTCATAATTCAGTGTATTCATAAATAAATTGCTGGATTCAGATTTCTATTACCATTCCATTCCACTGCCCTAAGCATGTTCCATCATGTCAGCATGTGTTGCATTGAATAAAGACTTCCTCATAGTTTTCAGCTGCCTGTAGCCTCTAAGTGAATGGTAGTTAAAAGAAGCAACTGAAGTACCGAACTGTTTAAAAAAAAATGTCTGTATATTTGGTCACAGGGTAAATTGAATGTTTGCTCACTGCTACAGAGCAGAAGTGTAGAAGAGAAGAAACTATATCTGTGATATTACATTAGTGCCTTAAAAGACCTGTGTATTTTTTCTCTGCAAGTTGTGCTGTTCAGTCAGTATGTTTAATTTGTTCCCCTTGTGTCTTTTCAATGGATAAAAACTTTTGCAACTACAGTAACTTTAAATTACCAGGGACAGTAGAGCATCCTTACATATCTAGGACATAGGGCTGACTTCCCTCTCTGGAATGCTTGGTGAACATGGACTCATCTCTGTAACTGTCATGACATCAGTCTCCATTGTGACCTGGTATTTTTCCTATGACATGGTGCCGTCCTTTGCTTTGTTTGGACAGGGGCTGTGAGAGGCCCCTGTATTAACCAACTGTGCTGCAAAGACAACGCTTCATCCACTGAGATGGGCCCATACAGGGCAACACTGGTCAAACATGGGATACCACCGAAACAGTCAGGAGGATGTCAAATCATTTTCAAATAACTTCAGATCGGATACATTTCACATAACCGGCATTGACAGTGTGAACACGTTTATTCACTTAATCTTTATCTGAAACTTCAACTTAGAAAAATATTCTCAAAAGTTGAAAAACAAATGATAAAACTCATGTCTTGGTCAAGTACTTTTCTGAAGTTTCTTAATGGCAAAGTGTTAATGTTGACCTGTGAATCTCAGAGCGATGATATATGAAAGCATCATTTTTAGATGAAAAATGTCAAGGAATGAAATGCTGCATTGTAAACACGGCAATAATTAAATTCAAATTCTCCTTCTGAAGAGATCGTTCCCACTGACAAAGAGGAAGTGGCCTTCAAGGACCTGGACGCTGCCATCTTGGTCGGCTCCATGCCCAGGAGGGAGGGTATGGAGAGGAAAGACTTACTCAAAGCCAACGTGGCCATCTTCAAGAGCCAGGGAGCCGCCCTGGAGAAGTATGCCAAGAAGACTGTCAAGGTAATAACATCCTTGGCTCCAGTATTGGCAAAGGCAACATACAAGAGTTTACTTTCTAAGGCGTGTGTATTATTAAGTGTAAGCTTGCTTTTTTTGGCTCCACTCTGTTAAGAATAAGATGTAAAATCGTTGTTTTCAGGTGCTGGTTGTAGGAAACCCTGCCAACACCAACTGTCTGATTGCAGCTAAGTCTGCTCCCTCCATCCCCAAAGACAACTTCTCCTGCCTCACTCGTCTGGACCACAACAGGGCTCGCTCTCAGGTGCGTTTCAATGTTCCTGCATTTCTCATTGTCAGCCTTATGTCTTTTTTTTTTCTTCCACTTCTGAATTTACTCTGCGTCCTCTAGGTGGCGATTCGCTGTGGCGTTCCTGCTACTCAAGTCAAGAATGTGATCATCTGGGGAAACCACTCGTCCACCCAGTACCCAGATGTGCACCACTGCCTGGTCAACATGTCCGGTAGTGAGCTCGCCTGCTTCGATGCTGTCAAGGATGATGACTGGCTCAAAGGAGATTTCATAGCTGTGAGCTGATATTAACTTATTCAATACTATTTGACTGTGTCAAACATTTGCATTTATACAAAAACAGTTTATCAACAATAAGCAGTTAAATCAGATTTTGTGTTTATGTTCAGTGGTCATGCCCGCAGGAATTACCAGTCAGTTTTTTCCAGTTCAACTCCTGATGCTCAAAATGACACAGACAATAATAAACTTTATTTTATTAATGACTGCAAACATTTCAGTCTTGAAATAACATGGAAACTAGCTGAACAACTCAAGCTAACCCCATAATTTCTTCACTATGTGTGTCTGTGTTGCAGACAGTGCAGCAGAGAGGTGCCGCAGTCATCAAGGCCAGGAAGCTGTCCAGTGCCATGTCTGCCGCCAAGGCCATCTGTGACCACATGAGAGACATCTGGTCAGGCACCCCCCAGGTAAACGCCACATTCATATATATACTGTTGTGCTAACATGGGAACATCTGCCTGTTGCTGTAATCAGGCAAAAAGTGGCTGTTACAATGTCAAATATTGATAGACTGTACTAAACCCGTCATCCTTATTTTTGTCATATGGTTAAGTAGAAATAAAACATGCAGAAAGACTAGTTTGCAGGTTGTGACTGCCCATCATCTTTTTTTAGCAGTAAACAGAGTTGACTAGATTTAACAATTATAATTTTCATAGTAAAACCTCATATTATATCTGGTTCGTGCACAGTTTCTCTGTGGGCACCGGGTGCTGGTAAATCTTGTTGATCAAGCCTTCATTTCTGGCAGATCACATGTGGTTTAAGCACTTCCAGTTTAACCAGTAAATCTACTTTATTATTTTTCCAGGGTGAGTTCACCTCTATGGGCATTTACTCCTCTGGAAACAAATATGGAGTCCCAGACGACCTCATCTATTCATTCCCTATCCAGATCAAGGTGAGACTGGTCTAAACTTGTGGTTTGAAGACAGCTAGTTGATTTCCAGCCACAGCAGGGAATCAATAAGTTGTTTCTTGACTTGTTTGTCAGTTTATGATTACTCACATTCATTCTGTTCGTTTGATTTGTTTTCAGTATGTTCAACAATGACCAGCTTTCAGTGTAAATATGTAAATTTAAAGCGCAAAATAACACCCGACCAAAAGCCATTGCTCTATTTGACTGAAAGTTTCACCTGTGACTTAATTCGGTGTCATTGAGTGTGTGTGTGTGTGTGGGTGTGATCAAAAATGCACTTGTAGCCAAGCCTAACAGTGATCTCAGGAGTTCACCTGTACACTGCAACAAGATGAAACAAGATGTCAGGTGTAAAATTATTTTAAAACTTTGTATTTGCTTCAGGACAAGAACTGGACGATTGTGGACGGCCTGGCCATCAATGATTTTTCCCGATCAAAGATGGATGCCACAGCAGCTGAGCTGATAGAGGAGAGAGACATGGCGGTGGCTTTCCTGGGGGTATGACTAGACCCTGCAGGGCCACATGACCAGCACTTAGAAAACCCCAAAACTCCAGACGCACGCCTGTGATGAAGCACTCCACCAACCCCTGCAGTAGTGTGTGTCTGTATGAATGTGCATGAGAAAGCAAGTCTCTGTTTATGAGTGGGAAGTTGGATTTACAGCAGCAGCTATGAAGAAACCAAATGGAGACGGTTATTGGTTATTGTTGCTGGTGATTTTGTTCCCTCAAGTTTTAATACTTTTGGAGATGTCATGGTGTTGATAGTGAAGACAACAGTAATCATTGTCTTTTTCAGGATTACCAGACCCATCCTGTGAGAAAGCCATTTCCATCACAAATCTTTTGTTGTACATTCTGACACACTCGTATATCTCCACTTTAAGTATAGTTCACCATTTGTTACCAGCTTGTTTCAAATGTATTTTCTCCGGGGTTAAGTGAATGGATTATTGTTACATATAGTCAGTGATGCACTAAGTCCTCAAACACTGGAATGGAAAACTTTTACAGTGAAACAATAAAAAAAGATTCAACAATGAAGCTGTGTTGTTTTTTTGTTACAGAGAAGAATTGTATTGTATCGTAGAATTTGTATATATAATTGTATCTATTTGTGTTTGAGACAGTCATTGGTTATTTTTTTTACATGTTACAAGGTTATGTTTAAGTGTAATACCACAGTGTGACCAGGCGAGGACTGTGTTTCTCTATTTAACTCGCCAGCAGCATCAGGGACGATTATATAATATCTGTAGGTGGTTAAATTCACAATGTATCATTTTGTAGAAATAATTGAAATAAAACTAAATATATATAATTAGCACTGATGTGATTAGTCAATTAAATAAAGAGCTGATCAACAGAAAATAATAAAAAAAACTTAAAAATAACCGTTAGTCTCAGGTTTATATAATATCCAATCAGTAGTACTTTTCTCATGTGAAGTATTTAATACTTTATTTGTAGATGTTCGTGTATTTTGTGTATTTTATTTTTCACTCTCGTATTCTTTCACCCGGAAAAATCAGAGAACACGTCGTACGTGGCATGATTCTATTGGCTGTCAAAATTGCGTCCCGAAAAAACCCAGCGTTTTCATTGGCTGTCATCCTCTTGCGGCGTTCCGATTGGGCCCTGCCGTGAACCTCCAAACCAATGACTTCCGTTTTGACTTCCTCACTTTTTATCTTACTGTGAGTTTTATTTGCGGAAATGAAACAGGAGCTGCGCGTTTTAAAGGTGAAAACCGTTATTTTGAAGAAAAGAATATAAAAATAATAATAATTTAAAAAAAAAAAAAGCCAGCGTTCTCCGGCTGCTCTTCTCTTTTCTCTGCGGGGTCGTTGCGGTTCTTCAGACCCGCAGAACCAGGCCATCGACTTCCTCTTCCGCCAGCATCCTGCATTCACACAGTAAGAACATGTCTTCAAGTCTCTGCATAGAAACAATAAAAACATTCTCTGGTGTGTCTGTTTGTCCCTCAGCTTGCTAGCTAGCGTGGCTCCTAGCTTCCGGTCAGCTAACGTCGTGTTGCGTTCAAGTACTTGACTTTTCTGCACAGGGGGCGTTCATGTACCAATAGCACATTCCGTCCTCTGTCTGTGTCCATCCATCCAGCCATCAATCATCCATTCGTTTCCGCAGCCTGTAGTCTGTGAAGTTACCCGGGCACAGATGCAGGTCGTGCGGATGCTGTCACCGGTTAATAAATGACTGGCCGTCTGCTGCCAGTGTTAGTGAGTGGAGGCTGCATCATAATGAGCTGATACTATGTAAGCGAGGGGCCGAGGAAGGAGGACAAACATGGCCAGAGATTGTGTGTCACAGCCCGGAGAAGTGTGACGTGGTTTACAGCAACGAGAGGCGGTCACTGAGAGATCCTCCTCTTCAGATCTCCGCAGATCCGAAGGTTCGCAACCTTCAGGCTCAGAGCTCCACGGACCTTTAACTGTGATCCGATCTGTGGGGGTTTTTTAATTTTGTGGAGGGGGACAGGATGTGTTGTCCTCCGGAGCTTCACTGCTGACCAGACCGAAGGGGCTGCCCACCTCTGACTGTGAATGCGTGAGCCTGAGTCAGGAAACCTCGAAGAAACTTTTGAATTTGAACCCATCCAGGAGTAGTTACTGTCAGTGACACTCTGGATCACACAGCTTTAAACTCTGCTTTGGATCGACTCTGATCTTTTAACTGTACTGTTGTTGAACTGGTGGCTTCTTGGGCAGCTGAACCATGGCACTTTATGTAGAAGGTGAGTGATGTGGAAGGTGTTTTACCTTTAGATATTAGAAATTAAATATGTGCTTGAGCATTATATTTTCTTCACCAGGCTTGATATTTTACAGTGTACCATCAACTTTGCTATAAATAACTATAGATTAAAAGAAAACATTAATACAACCAAATACATAGAACTTGAATTAAGAAAACAATCAAAAGTTGTCAGAAACTGTGATATACCAATGTATCAATAGGTCGAGCTGTAATAGTTAATAGTTATAACCTTGGACCATACCTGTGATTAAACATTTCTTCATTTACCAAAACTATCTTTTTCTAATCTATTTGCAGAGATTTGTCTCACACACTGAATGATCTGGGCTGATGCCTTTGTGTGAAGCTGCTGATATACGAGACTCATTATTGTTGAATATACATATTACAGTTTTCTTTTAACTCCAAATGATCACTGTCTTTTGTCTGCTACACATTATAGGCATTAGAGACGGGTCATAAACTCTAAATTCTTAAGTGATTGAGCTTCTCATTTGAACACAGCTGAAATGTGATTTGAAAAGTTTTCTGACTTACTTTCTGACTAAAAGCTGTTTGGTTGGAGAGAAAGTTATTTGTTGAATTCACTGGTTTTATTTAACCGCTTCAAGTTTGCAGTCCATAACTTTGTGTGTCTGAACATTCCCCATTATACACGCTGTCTGATAAGAAGCCAGTCTGACTGTAACGTCCAAGTTACTGTCACTATCACACCATCATATATAACTTTTCCAACAACGTCTTAGCTGCTTTGAAGCCGTGCCTCTGAATGGTTCACTGGGAAATTGACTAACTACCTGAAGATGTGATAGGTGGATTTGCTTTATCATCATTATCGTCTGAATGTAATTGATGATTTCAGCTGTTACCTTGTTTCTATCTGCTCTTAATGACAGTGAGCAGGTGTAATGCATCATACGATCATGAGATATAGTTCAACCAAAGGAAGTGAAGTCTGAAGATATGCTGCAGATACTTAGCATTCCTCTGCTGTTTTAATCATTGTTCTAATCATCTCATCACTTCTCAAGGGAAGCTATACTTAAACTTCTCAGCTGGAACAACTGATGTAGCTGTGTTATATCTTTTGCTCTGGTTTTAAACCTTTATTTAAGTCATAAATGTAAACAAACAAACAATTTGGATATAACAAAACACTAATCTTGCACAGCGCAAAAACCGAACAGGCTCAGGTGGTTTCAACTCAGTCTCATGTGCTTTTGAATATGATCAGAACTCTCAAATGAATTTCTCTCATTTCACTGCATCAGCAGTAAAATATGCTGGTTGACAATTAAAAATAATTAGGCTCAGGAGTGCTCTGTTTAAATATGTAATTACACTATTACTACCAGTCAGGGTGAAACGATCAGCATAAAATGAAAATTTAATTTAAGTAGAATTAGTGTCAGTGATTGGTTTGCCCTGAAAGCACAAACCAATCACTGGCTCCAGAAAGGTCCCTTACATTAAATTGTTTTGTCGAAACCTGAAGGCAGGATGAGGCGAGGGGTATTCAGTTGGTTAAGATGCAGTTGAACCCGACTGTTCCTTTAACTACATATTGTTTTAAGGTCAATACTTAAGTCAGTAGCTCAGATTTAAGAATAAAAACGTATAATCATTTTTATAGCACAAACACATAATTATTAATTATTATTAAGAATTAGAGAAGCTTTCAGTGAAGCTATTCACTGTTTGAGAACAGACATGAGTTGAAACTGGAATGGAGGGATTGCTTCGTTCAGACTGAAACAGATGGTTTGTGTTAATGAAATGAGTAAAAGTGGAGTCACAAAGCGTTCCGAGGATGCAGGAATATGTAAGAAGTTAAAATCCAGATATGTTGCAGCTGTCTCAAACCTCATCCCCTCACGCTCCTCTGTCTTCCCCCCTCCAGGTCTGAGTAAAGGAGTGGCCAAAGGAGGGATGGCTCAGTTCCAGGAAATGATGCGGCAGCAGCTGGAGAGCTCCATGCACACGGAGCTGGAGAAACTGCTGGACACCACCACGGGGGCCGAGAGAGAGGTGCGCCCACACTGACTCACTCTCTCTGTCTCTGCGACCATCTGGTTGTGATTTAGAGGGTGGTGGGGTCCCACACAAACACTGGCAAAACACAAAAGTGACACATACTGGAACACGGTGCCAATGAGGGTTCTGGCTACACTCTGACACAAAGTATATGTGATGAAGTTGCAGTAAGTTAGTACATTTTTTAGTCTAAATCATAATATAGACTGAGCCCAGCTGAGATCCTGTGTGTTTGTTTTGTTTGCCAAAAAGAAATTCTGGTGAGGGGAGTGGACACCTTCGAGCTCACTGCAGCCGATCAATCAAAGCCGAAGGCTGAAATCCAAACTGTCTCCATAGACTGAGAGGTGCTTGAATTTCCATAAGTGTAAAACAAACAGCCCAGAGACAAAACTGTTACTCAACTGTCTTGGCTGAAAACACACACATACAAACACAGGGTTTGGCAGTTGCGAGCAGGGTCTCTCAATCTGCCGACAGTCATTAAAGAGAGAATGATAAACAGAGATAAGATTTGAAGGGACAGTCACACACAGGTGTGTCCAGTGCTCTTCTTTCTGCCTTAAGTAACTATAGCTTTCTTAACACAGACATGTGCACATACACAAATGTTATTCTTAGGTACACACTGGTTGAACATGGCAGGTCTCCAGTGTTAAGACATACGCTAGCACATAGATTCACAAACCAGTGAAAGGCCATTTATATACACATTTAAAATCAAATATTAAACGCCCTAAATGCATTTTAATGTCTTTTGCTGTATAATTAGTGTTCCAGAGGCATCTTCAAGAATCTGAATATTTTACAAACAAACCCAGAAGAAAAGCAACACAGAAATGCAAATGAATTTATGGAGCAGGATTTTGTATATCAAACACTAAAAGCTGGTCTTGAAATCTTAAATAATAAAAAATAATAAAACTACTGCATCACATCCAGAGGCTATCTTATCTGTAATTAATATTATAAAAGCTTGTTTAAACTTGTAAGTTTGATTCAAGCAAACACACTGATTGAGTAAGTATGAAGATAAAATGTGGTCAAGTTTCAAAGCGTCGTGTAGCAACAGTAGATGACAAAAAGAAACCGGTTACGTAAACACACTAGTGCCTGGAAAATAATTATCGTTCCACATGACTTATGTTGGAATCTGCATAATCAAAGATGCTCATGTGTAGCAGAGCTCGTTCAGCAGCTTCACTTATTTCATCAATCCAGTATACACCCATTTCCCTGTGTGATTTATCACGTAGTAATCAGACTTGTTTCACTGCAGTGGCGTCTTCAGCACGTGCAGGAGAAACCTCTCGCCCAACTGCATAATTTAAACAATCAAACCCAGATAGTAATGGAGGTTTCTGTTCCTAGATTAGGCTTTATTATAAGAAGTACAGTGCCAGGTGAAGTAAGCGCTAGAAAAGTTGTCATGAAGATAGTTCCGCACCATTGTGATGTCACATAGCATCACTGGGAGAACCACATTTGCATAATGCACGCCTAGCGACTAGTCTGGCACGCCCCCTAACAAAGCCACATAAAGCGAGAGCGGAGGCCGACATTTATTACATGTGCTGGAAGGTGTCAACCAATCAGAACAGAGTGAGCCAGCTGGCAAGTGTTTCAGACAGAGGCTGAAAAGAGGAGCTGCAGCAATGGACAGTTTGTTCTCAGCTTTAGATCATGTAAACCTTTTCAAGTAGTGACACAAATAAAATATATGAACCTGAATATTAGCAAAATAAAAACAGTGTCAGAGTCTTGTTAAACATCAGCCACCTTCTCTGGAATGAATACAAATTAAAATATTGTAAAATCCTTCTTTTTTTTTCAGGTGTCCAAGAAAGACTTTGAGGGCTTCAAGAATCTTTTCCACAGATTTCTGCAGGTGAAGGGGCCGTCGGTGGAGTGGATCAAGATACAAAGACCTCCAGAGGACTCGGTAAGTGTTTCTTTGGTGTCAGAACGGTGACAGAGGTCATTGGATTCAAATCCAGTAAGAACTTGTCTTTGTTTCCATTTAGCTGCTCTACATGTTTGTTCAAGTAACAATTGTCTCAGTTGTAATTCCAGTTGTGCATACACAGAATAAGCCAAAGACTACAAACCCTATCTGCTGGATTGACAAACTAAGCCAGGAAGTATTTGAACATCCAATCGAGAACCCATACCGTCAGAGACACCAGTGTGTGAATGTGAAATATTATTTGGGCGCAGAGTTCAGACACCGAAGTGGAGAAAAAAAGATTCACTAAAAGGTTCTGCTGCAGCTTCTCATGTTGAGGCGGTGCCAAGCGTCGCTGTTGATGGTTAAACTGACAGACGCTGCCAGCGGAGAGTCATATCAGCTGTCACTAATTAATTATGGCAGCAACTTGCTGATAGGCGTCAATTAAACTCGGCCATGAGAAAACAGTTTCTTTATTCTGACAAAGCCAACAGAATGAGACATCGTCTCTGTAGCAGCTCATGTCACTGTCAATTCAAATTTAAGATTTTCTTTGGAAGATTTCAGGAAAATGTTGGTAATTCATGATCCATGATCTTTGAATATGTGATAACATTTTTCCACGATTGTGACACAGTTTTGTCAGCGGTGGATACGGATGTGGCGCAACATGCAGGCTGATTTACGATGTGAAAGCGACCACATGCAGCTTTTCCACCATGAGTCAGGGTGTTTTCAGTCGATCTAACTCCAATCTCATCTTCTTGTCTGTCAAAATATCTATAGAGTAACTGATGCACATTACACAATGTACCAACTAGAAACAGTGAAAAGTCGTGGATTTCACAGAAGAAAGTATGTGCCAATATCTGTGCAAATTGATAATGTCTCTGACCTAAATGATGCCTCAGTGATAAGATTATCCGACATCAAAGTTTGTACTTCTACCTTTGACCGACACAGTTGTTAATCTCTGTTCGTAGTTAGTTTGAAAATTAGCAGCCCTGAAAACGCAGTCAAAGCAGAATTGTCTGTGATGTTTTGTCAGATCGTGTCGTTACATTCACAATGACAGACATCTTTTTCTTATTTTTGCCTCTTTACTTAAACATGTCAAACAAAACCTTCAACAAATCGTTTATTTGTTTTATTGATCCACTCTGAATCGCTCATACAGTTCGTGGTTAATGATTCTATTAAAATTTGGTTAATTTCCAGAATCTAAAAGATTCATGGGAATATTGTAAACTACTCGTGTACATAAGTGTTCAGGGATTAAAGTTCTCCGTCACTCTGACGGATTTCTGTCAGGCAGATTCCAGAGAGACGAGGTTTGCGGTCAATGAGGATCCAGAGGGAACATGGTGTCATACAGTGAGCTGGCAGATGTCGGTAAACAGACAGTATATTACTCAAATGCAAATATTAATGTTAGACAATGGCGTGTACACACAGTCAAATGTGTGGAGCAGACCCAGCAATAATGTTTTACCTACCACCACCAAGGATGTTACTGTTTTCACCCCTGTCCGTTCATTTGAGCAGGATCACACAAAACCTACTGGACAGATTTCTACTGAACTCGATAGAAGGATGGGGCCAAGAAACAAGTACAGTTTTTGGCGTGGATCAGCACAAAAAGTTATATGCACGGAATATTTCATGGCTCTCGATGAAGAACAGACATATTTAGGGAACTTATATCTATGAGTCTGTGCAGATTGATGCAGCTTAATTGGATTCAAGGAGACTGTCAGGCCTTGGTGGAAGTATGAGTGCCAAGGTTGTAATTGTAATGGGACGCTGCGATGTTATCAGGGTTTTATCCAAGTTCAAAGATCAGATTGTGCCGTATGTTTTTCCCACTTGACCCACTTAAATGGTACAGCAGCCATAACCTACCTACATGACCTCCCTACGTTTACTGTTCACTATCATCGGGACAATAAACCACAGGGGCCTAAGTTTCCTTTTGTTTCCTGCGCTCGGTCACTTGCAGAGTCATGTCATCTGGGTTCCATGCAGGATTTCCTTTTTGTCTTGCTGGAATAGCACATTTTTATAGGTCTTCCTTAGTTTCCAGTCACCAGGGATGCTCTCAGTGCTCTCATTCGGTATCCTGAACACCAGGCTGCCATGTTTTGTGTGAGCTTCAAAGTGCAGGATTTAAAAGGTGTAGCAGAGTTAAAAGAGCAAACTTATCTAATGCGGACTGATCTCAAGGGAACGAACCTCTAAGTCGAGACGCAGAGTTTTGTAGGAGTCAGAATATGGAGTGGTTGGGAACAGAACTCGAGAAAAGCCAGCAGGTAAATGCAGCAGCAGTATGAGTCTGAGTGTTGAGGCTGAATTTCAAAGTTTTTCTTCTCCTGGGACTTTGGGTTGAACTCAGCTGAACACGTCAGGCTGCATGATGTTAAGCACTTGAGGAAGTGAAACAATCCAGATTTAGTGGTTTATCATCGTCTCTTTAGTTACTTAGAAAAACATGGTCCACTCCACTCAGAGACAAAGTAAACACTGTATTAATCACATCTGATTGTTTATGTTCAATTGACTGTGAACTTTAACGGTCTTTGTTCTTGTTCCCTGTTTACCATCTCTACAGTGATTTGTCTTTTTAAGAAGAATGAATTTAATGTCGCGTATTTTTTATTTTGTCGGTGAAACAAATATGACAATAGAAGTGAAAACACTGCTGCTGTGTTGTTGTTGTTAGGAGGAAAGAACAAATAGAACGTGATGTCATCAAGACGTCATTTGTAAAATATGATGAGGAAACATCCACAATCTCGTATCACGAAACAGAACGATGGAACCCAACCGCTGCTTGTTTTCATGCTATGTCACATGACTGTTTGGGTCCAATCCTGATTGAGTTATCAGGCCGGCTGTCAGAGTTGGGTTAGTTTAATTAGCTCAGGGTGGATAATGACCCTCAGACTGCAGAGTTCCTCAGGCATTAGGATTGAGCCGTGGGAACATTTTTCCTCCGTGAGACACAGGATGATGCAGAGTGTTTTTAATTCCAATCCAATTCTTCAACATCTTCTGTGAATCTGTTTCTGCCTCTTATGGTTTAAAACACCGTCTCCAATGAAAACTCTCATCCTCCACTCATATCCAATGATTTCCATGTGACCATTTCTATTCTTATTAAATGTCATGTGACAGAAGTTCACATATGAAATGTGTCTCAAGGCACAAGCTGCAAAGACTTTTTTAATGTCAGGAGACAATCTGCTCTCACTCTTTTACTCAGCGATAGTTGATGACTTGTTTCTCAGCCCTTTTGACTCGTGACCATGCATCAGAGGTCGTGACCTTGACAAGATTACTTGTTAGGATTTTTTTAAAAGGCCTTGAAAAGGCTTAAGAATGTCAATGATTCACAAGAGAACACAAACAGAAACCTCGGAGAAATGTCATGATGAAAAAATCCACTTTAATTGAATGTAATGCATTTGTATTCCCCCTGAGGAAATCAGAGTGTCAGGTCTGACTGATTTGATATTATATTTGCTGATTAAAATTCTATAAAATCAGTTTATTATTAACTTATCAACCATTTACTGATCGATTGCCTACATTAAGTGCCATGAAACTTGGTGGAAGGTTGGAACATGGGCCCAGACAGACCTCATAAAAGTTTGGAAGTTTTAATCTTTAACATTGTGGGATTGTTTTGTTTTTTTTGTTACATTTTCACCAACTTATTAGGAATGAATTCATGGATCTTGATTAAAGAACATTTAAGGGACTTATATCGATTAATGTGTGCAACTTAGTGCCGCTTGCTTGAATTAAGGGGACTGCTGGGCCTTGACGGAGGTTTACACTCAACCTAAGTTTGTTTTTTGTTGCTGTGGTCATGGAGGTAAAACTCAATATTCCATAGATACCTGCTTTACAAGTCAAAACAAATATTTGTCATCTAAAAGGATGCACCCTCCTTCCACTTAACAAATACAAGCCTTTCAAATACAGAAACTGGTTTGGTTGGACCCAAGCCAGAGATGCTGCTCACTGCCATTTTTCAGACAAATTTGCTCCTGTCTCACTGAACATGAACAGAACTTCCTCAGTCGCTCGTCTGGCACCAGACTTTAACCAAAACACACACACACACACACACACACACACACACACACACANCACACACACACACACACACACACACACACACACACACACACACACACACACACACACACACACACACACAGACACACAAACTTGGATTCTAAGTCGCCTCATTTCTTTTAAAAACTAAAAAAACTGGAGAGAGCTAGAGAGAGAGGAGAAAGTGAAGGAGAAAGAAGAGGGGACAGCAGCAATAAGTAATTGGTGTGTGTTTGGCATCTAAAGCAGTTGTGCAGACAATTTCACGAGGTGTGGTAAAGAAAATGCAGGTGAATAAACAGAGGTTTTTTTTTAATGTGCATTACATCCTAAATAACCAGATAATATGCTCCATATGGCTCATGGTGTATTTACTACTTGTATAAATGAGAGTTTTGCCTTTTTCAAAACAGATTGGCAATGTAAGAACTTCTGTTATCTTCACCAGCAGGTTCTGTTTTCACCCCTAGGGATCGGTTTGTTTACTTGTCAGCAGGACTACACAGAAACTACTGAATGGATTTCCAGGACACTTACTGGAAGAATGACACATGGGCCAGGAGAATAAATTAAAGTTGGTCCAGGAATTTGTGTGTAGAAAATAAGGTGCAGCTTGGTTGATTGGGTTCTAGTTTTTAAGTGCAGCAATTTTTAATCTGTAATTTAACTTATTAAGATCAATTTAAATGGGAAACAATGGTTTTCATTATCAATCATCTTTCATGGATATATTATTCGATCATATTATCCATCACAGTCTCCCAGAGACAAAAGTGACACCTTCAGAGGTCACACAAAATAAAATAAAGGCAGTAAATTAACTTTCTGTTGAACAAATGATCAATTGACCTAAATCATTTGCAGTCAGTGACTGTTTGGAGTCTCAGACATTATATGAGTCAGGAAAATCCCTCATGTTATTCCATGTATATGGAGAATATACACAAAAAGTACATTAACACTAAATTCCTGTTTTATGACACCACAGTGCAACTCTCTCAGGTGTAAGGTATTTTTAAGTATTTATTGTACAACTTTAACTCTCCCTGTGAAGCATTGACATCTGGATTATTTCATATAAAGAGATAATGTATGAGTATATATATAAAACACAGTTGTGATTACAGATGATTCATAGTTTTATCAACTTTTTTTTATCAGTTGTACGTGAAAGCCTCTGTATTGGTAGACACGCAGATGTTTGTCTCCACAAAAATGTTTGCAGTGAAGCTGGAGCTCTGCACCACTCCTGTCCTTGGGTGGAGGATTGGAAAGTTGTCTCATTTGCAGAGTGTAATAAAAATAAAAAATGTTGGAATGTCAGACATGGTCCTGCACGGAGAGTTAATGGCATGCAGCACTGAGAGTTTTTAAAGGTCATAGTGTGTATCTGTGTGTGTATCTGTGCGGTATCTGTGCGGTATCTGTGCGGTATCTGTTCGTGTCTATCTGTGTTTCTGTGATGTGCGAAAAATGATGATGAGGTAGAGACAGTTTCCTGCTGCAGCTCTGTGCGCCCGAGGAGATGCTGGTGGTTTCTAACATCTTGAATCTGTTCAGACACAGTGGTGGTTTTTTTATTCTTCAAGGAAAAAAAACATCTGAATTGTGTTGATGGAAAATGTAGAACTGTTACTGATCAACAACACATTAAATATATTGTTATGCAACGCTGTGCTTCCACTGCAGTGTAGTTAAACTCAGCTCATGCGTGCATCTTTCCCTCCTCCACTGATGCTGATTACCATGTTGTGCAAACCATAGTTTAGTTGTGTAACATCTCAAATCCTGCTGGCTTGTATCTAAATCAATCCAAAACCATAATCCATCACTGGGCTCTGTTTGCTGTAGATGAAATATCCTGTGGGTTTATTCCAGGTGCTCAGTCCTACACCTGACAGATTATTGTCTGTCAAAGTGAAGAATAATAAAAAAACTAGTTCTCTGTCCGCCTCATTGGTTATCTGTCATTTGGATTCCACACCACAGCTCATGCATGAGATCTGTGTGGAGGATTTAAATTCACTAGATCTCTATATTTATCTGCATCAAATTGTTCACACCCATAAATAGAAGTCGTTGGCCTGTTTCTACTTCTTCTTCTCAGAAATCAGCAAAATGCTGAAGAAAGTGAAAATAATTCCTGCAAATACTTAAAGAAGCTTCCTGTTCTCTGAACCGTTCACACCAACAAGAACTAATGTTACCCATTTGATTGCAATTCTTTCTCTTTCTCTTCGTCTCCTTCAGATCCAGCCCTATGATAAGATCGAAGCTCGAGGCCTGCCAGACAACGTGGCGGACAGTCTGAACAAACTGGTGGTGGTGAAGCTGAACGGAGGCCTGGGCACCAGCATGGGCTGTAAGGGCCCCAAGAGCCTGATCAGCGTCCGCAACGAGAACACCTTCCTGGACCTCACTGTGCAGCAGATAGAGGTACGGAAGCTCTTTGGTAACTTGTCTTTAAGGCCTTAGAGAACGGCAAAGAAACCTTCGTCAGCAGAAGGATGCTCGGTGGTGGCCGGCAGTGTGGGTGTCCCTGGCCCTGATGGTGACGAGACAATTTACGATGAGTTTGGAGCCACAGAATCTGAATGTATTAAGCACTGAAACTGTTCTGCTCCGTTTACAGTTTCAAAAAGTATAAATTTACCACCGGTTAAACAGGCGATACCCAACCCTACTTATGAGAAACTCAGAGGGTGGGACGTCAAAGCTCACTCCTTCACTGTGGAGACGGAGCAGAACAGACAGGCTTTTAATCACAGACAGGCTGGAGGACACATTCCCCCTTTCACCAAACCTCAGTGGTGAAAACACTTATTTAATTCAGACATCCAAACCAAATATGGATCTAAACTGTAGAGTGAAGGAAGGATCTTTTCAGGTCCTCATGTGTTCTTGGTATTTTTCCATCTCAGTGTTTCTTTTTGTTTGTCTTGCCGTCTCTACGTTTTAGTTTTAATCCTGCTTTACAGATCACAGTCTCACTGTGGCTCATACTTAGCAGCAGGATCTACAGTTATACGTGTTGCCTAACTCACTAGACCGTTGAACACAGCTTGGGAAATGACCACACCAGCACGCACCGTCACCATGTGGCTGTGACGTCACGATAGGTGGAGAAGGAAAGAATGAGCGTTGTCTGATGTAATACAAACATCTGTGCTGTGTTAGTGTCGGTTGCTCTGATGTAAGAGACAAGAGACGTTTCAGGGGAAAAAGGAAAGCACAGCCAACTCCTCTCATTACACAATGCTGCATACGTATCATACCTCGACACAAGCCAACATGTATCTGAGGCACCATTGGAAATACATGCAGGTTTTTTTTAAGTGTGCTGAAAGGGGTTCAGTGTGACATGTGGGGGGAGTTATAGTGAAAGAGGATCTGTTGCTGCGCAGGCCGGCAGGTCTGTGGGATTGGCATGGGAACAGAGATGACTGTGTACTGGAGGACAGGAGTGTGTGTGTGTGTGTGTGTGTAAAGAAGGCGCGTACCTGGTCGTACCTTAAAACTCGACATGTGCGAATCCCTGGAGCAGCCGCAGAACTTGTTTTTCAAATGTTTATAGGTGGTCTATCATGAGTGTGTGAGTGATGATGATGTCAAGATGTTGGTGTGTACAGTGTACAGAGGTTGTATTAGGTGTGTGTGTGTGTGTGTGTGTGTGTGTGTGTGACTACATTGCATGTGTGTGTTTCGTAATGGCCTCATGGGACGCTGCCCTCCTCCCAACACACTGCTCTCTCTGTCCGAGTCACTGCTCTCCATTTTCTCTTCAGGTCAGGTCAGATTACGTCCTGACTGAGTTTAGCCATTTAGAACAAGAGAAAATGGATCCCCCCCCACACACACACACACACACACACACACTTCCATCCCATAACCACATCTCCTGTGTGAGGATGCCCCTCTCAGCCACCACGCTGCTTCATATACATTTATTTTGGATCAGTCCAGGGCAGAGATGTGGACACACTCTCACTGAGAACAGATGTGGAAGAAATCGCAGGCCGACTGGATGTCGCCACCTGGCTGCTGAAGATTTACTGCTTTCACCGGTTGAAGTCTGACTGGATCTATTAAGTTGAAAAATATGTTCACAGATTTTCCAGTCTGTCCCAAATCAGTGTCCATATGTGCAGGTATGAAGCAGGTTTTTGTTTTTGTAACTACTGCTCCGGTCCAGAGGAGCTAAGAGACCCTCTGCTAATACACCTTGAGTCGAGGTTTCAGTCTCTTCAGTTATGAGTTTCCTCTCCGTATCTCTCGGGACAGTGTTTTTCCAAATCAAGCTGCACTTGAGCTCTATGTGCAACAAAAAGAGGCAATTTTGTGCTTTAATTTCTCTTATTTGTGTAATAAGGACTTTTGAAGCCTTGTTTTAGCCTCAGGTGAGATATTTGAGCACAACATGAGGATAGTTGATTCTCTATCATACATATTGGAGCCGTTTTAGCTCCATCCCTCGTTATTGTCATGATGCATCATTATTACAGGAAGCACAGTGCAGCACCTGTATTAATGGAACTGATTTCTGTCGAGTGTGTGATGTTCGGTTTCGGTGTGGCTCGATTGACGACTGTTGGTGGAGGTATGTTCCATCCTAGTTGTTGTTTTGTTTAATTGACGTCTGAATTAGATGTCATACTGGTTTGGGCACAATGTTCAACACATTTTCTTTCCTCCTGTCTTAAGCTCCACACACACCCATATACAGTATTTACAAATCTTTTGTTAAGGTGTTAAGTGTCATGTAGGGTGTTTGCCTCTTGAATATAATAATTTAAGTAGTGCAAATAAAAAAATCTGTGTGAACGTTCAGTGAACTCCAATCATTTCAACTTTCTCTTCTCTTGGTTAAAATGTTTTCATCTCTGTTCTCTTCACATTTGAATGGGTCTTGCTGATGTTGTGCTCAGTGTTAGTAGCTATAGTGTCAGCAAATGTCGCACTTTTTACAAAACCACGTCCAGGCAATATGGATTTTAAGGGGCTGATGCAGACTCTGATATTATCGGATAGAATAGTTTGCCATTTGAATCAATCTGTATTATCTGGAACTTTTATTCAGGATACTGCTGCTGCTGCTGTCGCTCAGTCAGTCTTCCCTGGATATTTGATATAGACTCTGTTTGTTTTTCCACAGCACCTGAACAAGACGTACAACACAGACGTGCCCCTGGTTCTCATGAACTCCTTCAACACAGATGAAGACACAAAGAAGATCCTGCAGAAGTACACACACCACCGTGTCAAGATACACACCTTCAACCAGAGCAGGTGAGCTCACGCAGTAATAACATGTCAAGTAAAGCCTGTGTACGCTGGTGCATTCAGAGTTGTACATGTGCGTTTAAACAGGCAACTGGACTTGCTGTGTTTCTCGAACTGATACAAACTCACATCAACCGATGTAACAACAAATATTAAACTGAAAAGAAAACTTGGACATGAGTTTTAATAGATATCTGCATCATTAGTGGCAGATGTATCACCCACTGCCGCTTCCAGTTAGCATTACTGAAGTCAAACTGAGCGTCCTCTCATAATGAACTGGTGTGTATTCAGTGTGGAACAGTCCCCTGCTGCGTGCTGCCCCTGATTCTGTACTAAAACTGTCAGAAACAGCAGCGTCCAGGCAGGAAATGTCATGTAATTCATGGAGATAGATGTTAATATTTAATGCACTGGCGTCTCTAATTTGTCAGTCAAGTGGAACTTGCTTTTTACTGTTTCCCTTGAATTATTTAGAGCTCTTGTATGTCCTGCGTCCCTGAAGGAGTTGAGTACAAAGCAGGTTTGGACCAAGCTGGAGGATTTAAGTCAGCGCAGAGAAAGTGGTCGGACGGTTGAAATGTCGATCAGCAAGAGAACAAAGTGAAATTAATGAAATTCCATTCAGCTGTTCGGTCACACTAACGGTTTTTCCAGTTCAGAGAAAAACTGCAACAAATCCAAACACTGTTCAGTCACTTTCATTGTCCTGGTCATTGATGGGAGAGAATAATTATTTTTAAATCGGTAAAAAACCTTTTGTTGATCATCATATAATATTTAATTTAGTTTTTCAGACATTGGTCAGATAAAGTAAGTCGTCCTGGTCTGTGAGAAACTGAGGTGGACATTTTTCTTGATCGTTTTATCTTTTGACTTAAAGCAACACTATGTAATTATTACTGATCAACAGCGCCCTCTGCAGCCACACGTGGGGATTAATTCTGTGGTAGAGGTGTGGTACACTGGTTTTTAATGATTTAAAGGGATAGTTCACCGAAAAATGAAAATTCGTAATAATAATTTTAAAAAAAAACACAACATGCCTCCATTCTGCTCGTGACTTCTAAATAGTTTATTCATTACAAACTCGACAGATAATCTTGATGCAGCAGTTAATGCTCAGGACAAATTCAAAGATAAGATAAGAATATAACTAACCAGAATGTAAAACGTGATTTTGATGTTTCTTCAGAGGCAGTAGTGGAGGATCCACGACAGGAAAACGAAAGTATCAGAATGTTCTCAAGCGTCAGTCTGAAATAACAGAAAACCGTTGAAGTGGATGAGCTCATATCGAAACCACTCGTCTGAAACATCTTCCCAGAACAGTCAGCTTTGATAAATCCTCCATTAAAACGTCCTGCGTGCCTCCACAGTGCAGCTCCTCTCACCTGACCCGCTCATCTGCTCTGCACTCCCCTCAAACTCCTAAAACAGCAGCAGCTGGCGCTCGGCGCTGCTCCTCACGATGAGCTCTGTTAACTCAACCTGACGCGGAGCCTTCTTAAAAACCCTTTGATCAGTTTAATGCACCAAACCACGATGGTTTGAACTCTCGCTGGAGAAACTTTTCTCCGTGAAGATTCTCAGGCCTTTGAGCTTTGTAGAAAATCTCCAAGGAATTAAGTTTTTCTCTTTGTGCTGCGTATCATCTTAAATGTTGCCTGAGAGTCACAGTGGGTGACCGTTTTCTTTTTTAAGTTATTTCTTTTAAATTGTGCAAAACAAATGGTATAACGTTTAAATCTGGTTTCAGTGTTTCAAACCATGATGAGCACCAATCTGATTGTTCTACCTTCTACAGTTGTATCAGTGGAATATGATAAAGTCAATAGATGATAAATGATGTTTGAGTTTTCATCCATCCTAATATTTGTGCATACGTCAATAATGAGCAAAGGGGAAGCCACTTGCAACATGTTGGCTGATCTTGATATCGTCTCCTCCTCTGACCAGGTATCCTCGCATCAACAAGGAGTCGCTCCTCCCTGTGGCCTCGAGCTTGAACATGAGCGGTCAAAGCACAGAAGGCTGGTACCCTCCGGGCCACGGCGACATCTACGCCAGCTTCTACAACTCGGGCCTTTTGGATCAGCTGATCCAGCAGGGCAAGGAGTACATCTTTGTGTCCAACATCGACAACCTGGGAGCCACCGTGGACCTCCACATCCTGCACCACCTGGTCAGCCAGCCAAACGGCAAGCGCTGCGAGTTCGTCATGGAGGTGACGGACAAGACGCGCGCCGACGTCAAGGTACAGGAGGGGGACCGTGGAGGGGTGGATTCATACGGTCAATTCTGAAAATGGGGAGAATCTCGAAGTGTGTCCGTGTTAAGTTTGAGAACGTTCTGATTTCCAGGGCGGCACTCTGATCCAGTACGAAGGAAAACTGCGTCTGCTGGAGATCGCTCAGGTGCCCAAGGCCCACGTGGACGAATTCAAATCGGTTTCAAAGTTCAAGATCTTCAACACCAACAACCTGTGGATCTCTCTGGCTGCCATCAAGAGGCTGCAGGAACAGAAGGCGATGGACATGGAGATCATCGTCAACCCCAAGGTGAGTAAAGAGGAGAACAACACGGAGAGTACACACAACAACTACAACAACTCAGTGTTAGTGAGCAGAGGAAACACTCCTCCTAAAGTGATCAACACAACTTTTTCAGCTGAAACCACCAAGAGAAGTCAATTCATCTGTGTCATCGCTCCACATGACACAACACACATTGTCCGATGCCCTTTACAGAGTTCAAGTCTTCACAGTATAATAGAGAGAAACTCAACACTAAGCCCACAATGAGCAAACACTCGATGACAGCGGAGAGAATACTCCCACATGAATCTTAACGTCAGCAACTGAACAAACACTCTGGATCGGAGGTTTTCAAAGGAGAGTTCAAGAGGGGAAGTTATCGTGAGGGGAAAGAGTCGAGTTCATGTCCGATGTCCTGAAAACAACAGGAAGTTACTTATTGTTGTTCTCCTGTGTGGGCTGATCACTAACTCACTCAACACACACCACATGGAGGCAGTTACCACAGTTTGTTTCCACTGGGCTTCTGCTCAGAGTGAAATCTGAACGTCACACTCACACTCACGCCTTATTCATTGCTTTTATTCTTCAGAGTCAAAGGACTAAATTACTAAAGTACTAAAAAGCTCAGGAGCTAAGTCACATTAACGTCAACATGCTCTGGTCTCTGTCTCTTCCTCGTCCTTCACAACATGGAGGTCGTCAGAGGGAAAGTGACACACGTCCTTGTAACAGTCGGCTGTTAGATCATCATGTGAGTCTGAGGCCTCGGAGCAGCAGGACACAGAGCGACAACACCAGTTTGACTTTGTGATGCTCAGATGAAACCAGTCGCTCTAAATGAGCAGAATAAAACTGTCATCAGTTCTGTTTCCCCACGTCCATCCTGTCCTGTTAGACACAGAGCAGAGACATCTCATCACTCTGCTCTACAGAGACCACCACCTCTGAATTAATCATATCCTGAGCTTGTGTAGGAAACCCTTATTTGAAAGCGGCTCTGTGCTCGTGACGTCCTGCACGGATCCACTTTCGTGTGACGGTGGAGAGAAGAGAGAAGTTTTCTGGTCTCTTCTCTGGGGCCTCATCTCTCCCACTGGAACCCTCGTGTCTTTCCGCTCTATTAATCGAGTTGTTGGCTGAGCGCTCACTCTCAAGTTGCATTTGGATCAAAAGTATCGATACTGCGAAACCTTTTAGATGTTTTTCACAATTAACAATCTAAATTTATTACATATATGCGCTTCAAATAAAAGTCAGACATGAACAACAACATAACATGACCTTTTTGTTGAAGTATGGAAAGTGGTATTGAGTATTGACGGTATCGTAAGTCTAAACTTTTGGTATTGTCACAACTCTAGTCTGCATGTTGTTAAATTTCTTCTTAATTTATCAAAGAGTGGTTCAAAGAATTCAACAGAAACGTGAGAGTTCAAAATATGATCAGGTCTGAGGAAATACTGAATCAGTTGAGTTTAAAGTGAGTGATGAGGGGAACATTGTTCCTTCATTGTCTTCCAGAGCTCAGTCCAGTTAAAAGCTGAAAACAAATTTGACTTGATGTCATGTTGGTTATTTGCCCCCCCCCCCCCCCCCCCCC